ATCGCACGTTCCGTCCGTTCCCTAGGCCGGGGGGGGCGGGGGCGGGGGGGGGCGGGGAGTGAGGCCAAATTTCTACCCCTAAACACTTCAATACTCCTTTTAGATCGTGTTTCACAAAATTGAACAGATTATGAGTACGGATGGCCCTCTGTCTTGACTATGCCTTATAATAAAGGATTCTTTTTCTCGGAGAATAATAATGATATTATTGCCATGGTGCTCCAGGATTCATGTTCGGAATGCATTTTATTAGAAAATAAATGTAATTGCAATGAAAACAAGCTGGTTGAGACATTCGAATCTGATTTTATATTCCGAATCAGCATGAAAAATTGTGTTGATTTATGAATACTTCAGAAGATTTTTGAAGTCTTTTCTCTTCTCAAAAAGTGTCTCATACTTCCCTCAGGATTCCTGTGTGAAGAATTCAGCAACCCCTAAATGTGGCTTCAGCGCTAAAAACTGTGAACTGATCAGCGCTACATATGATATGCCGTAACTTGGCCAGACAAAACGTATTGAATGAAAAAAATGTCGAAGAAAAAGCCCAAAATGAAAAATATTAAGATGGAAGTCTTGCAATTTTCAATGTGCATAATACTAATAACATAAAATAGAATGCGCAGTAGTTGGGAAATAATAAATAAAAACAAAAAACAATAGTATTTATTTTGTGTTTAACAATCGTAGATGATAAGCCATCAACATGTTCCATTACATCAATAATATCATCAGAGTATCGCTGTGGGAATGTGGATGAACAATTCAAAACATCATAATACACACACCTGCATCCTCATTTACTGTATGATAGTCATTTTGATGTCTGTTATTAGTTACTTCTGTCGTCAACATACTGTTATCACATTGAAAAGACTGATAAAAACTAATAATTAGAATTAAATTGGTTTTACACATTACACGCACTAATAAAACAAAATACAGGAAACTAGCAGAATTAAGAAAAACGAACGAACTTATCACTTTCATTTAATTAAGGCTTGTAGAAGTCAAATACAAAGAATTTTACTTATTGAAGTTTAGCAGAGAATTCCCATATTTCTGTTGGGATTCAAGATATTATGAAAAGCAAAGTCGAATAAAGTTAAGAAAATGTAGTTGACAACCAGTAATTGTGCTGGTATATTTCACTATCACAAGCTCTGATTCACATTTTTAAAAGCATTTATTTTCTAATGAAAGCAAAAATGGATGAGGATCAGATTAAAGTAAGTCAAGACTATAGATTTAATTTTCACAGAAAATGGATATCTATTCACTCAAATCTAATACAAACTCCTATATATCTCTAAGTAGTCATCCAGAAACAGCCAAAACACATTCATATTCCATGGTTACCAAAGCCGGTGCTAAGCAGCTCTAAGTCTTTTAAAAAAATGTGCATTTGTAATGGCACTGAACATGCATCTTGTCACGATGCATGTTGTACTTATTGTATCGGTGACTTCATGCTATCTTCTGGTCCATATCGTTGGAATGCAAACGCAAATGGATGTTTAGCCTATGCCGCATGTTGCTTATTGTGCATTCCAAATTTTATTGTTGGTCTTACATGGGGTTTTCTTAAGACAATAACATGTGGAAAACTAGACGGAAATGGTTGTCGGTGCTCTACAGATGATTAGAGGAAAGCCCAAGATATTTTATACTCGGGACCCCGAAATAAAGAAACTACTTTCATGTAAGCATATACTAGCACTATGAAACACAATGCTGCTTTGTGTTAACATCTTGTAAAATAAATAAATAAATTCAGTTGATCATCTGTCTTATAAGAACATTTGATATATTTCATTAATACTAGGAACACTTTGCTACCGTACTTAGGAATACATTAAAACCCTTATAACTGTTGCTTTTGATATTCTTAAACACACATGATTCTCTGCGAGAGTCAATACAGTATTCTTCGTCTATAGCTTTGATTGATCTCGTTCTTAACTAATATTTTTACACGAATATTCCTCAAATAATTTTAATCATATGCTCATCGTGCCACTTTGCGAGGACTAATCTATGAGAAGTGTATTGATAAATATCCTGGTACTTCGTGATGAATTGATATATAAAGCCTACTTTTTGTATTAGAGTCGTTAATGGTTTCGATCATTGCAGAATGAACCCTCATATTGATGGTAATTCGCTGAAATAATCGATCAAGTCAAAAACGAATGGACAACTAAAGTTCCGATCAATCATAGAAATTCGAGATTTCCTCTGTATTTGATTCGTAAAAATGTATTCTTCATCAAACAGTTCATTCTAGGAATTTAATCAGAGAGACATTTTAAGTAATGACTTCCTTATAATGAACCAGCATCTATCACAGTCTGCCAAATTGAAGATGGTGAGATATAGATAAAACAAATTAGCAATTACAACCACCAACACTTTCAAGATTTGCATTTGCGTATTTTCTCCCTCATGGTCAATGAAAAATACCCATTACAAAGGTATAAATGCATAGTGTTCTTTTTGGACTATCGACTCATACTCAGACCAAGAAAAATAAATGAAACCCATAGGAATAGTAGTGAATATTGTGAAGTTAAATGACTTTGAAAAAAATTGTAAATGGTTTTCATCGAATATAATTCGAGTCTTGGTAATAATTCTATCAATATATTTTTGAACAAACTATGCTGATAATGCTAGTGGTGACGAATCGTCGTCAGAAAGAACTCAATAGAACAAAATCCCAGTAGCCACTAGCGCAAAGATGATCTTACTGATAATATTTCTCATGCGATATTCATGGTGCAGATTTTAGAATTGAACTGGATTCATCAACTTTTTAGTTACCTGAAGATGAACGAGCGAAGCAACAATGTCAACAAAACGGGGTTTAGGTACGAATTTTGGATGAGTTTGGTCAAGATTATTGCTTACACATATACACCCATACGAATTTTTTTTGAGGCGAAGATGTGTGGGCGTACAATGTAATGTCGTATTGAGATATTGTCCTATGCAGAACCAGAGTCAGAGTGATACCCGTAGTCATCGCATTCGAATGATGAATTTCATATATGTCGTTAAGTTCTTTTTATTTAAAAGAGACAACAGTGATTTTGTCAACAGTTTTGATCTTATTTACGTACACTTACATGCAAATTAAATACAACTTAGAAGCATGCTATTAATATAAACTAAAGCTAGTTCACATATGAATATAAGTCTTACCTTTTCTGATAGAATCAATTATTTCCATGGCAGAACAACGCAACACAAAAATAATAGTATATTAACTGAATGCTTACTTTTACATTCGAGTGTGGACGTGAATTAAGAAAAAATTCATTCTTCAAATGAAATTCACATATATTCTGGTAATAATAGATTTTCAGAATATTATTAAGAACTAGTAAAACATTCATTACAATTTTAATACTTTTTTATATTCACGTTGAATTCTCAAAAAAATTACTTTAATCTTTCAAAAAAATATATATCTACTATGAATTTTTTCAATGATTTTTAACTTCAGCCCTTCTGCTGGTTATAATATTTTGTCCATTATCCATTTCAATAGTATTTCTACGAATCGAACAATGGTAACTATTTGTCGTCGATTGTAATAATTTAAAATCCCCTATCTTTAATTGTTTTGATTTTCCATAAAGATAGAACGAAAATATGGCTAATATTAAACTGAATGGTGATAATATCCATGCTAATTTATAAGATGCTGTATTCATATATGACCAATATAAAACAAATAGTAATGCATAACCAAATAAAATATAAACAGTTAGTATTCGAATGGCACGATTACAATATGATTCATTAAGACTTGCAATAGGTTGTAACTGTATATAACGATTATAACATGATGAGCATAAACACAATGTTAATGGTATTAAAAAAAATAAGAACTAAAAACCAAAAAATAAATTTTACAACCTGACTGTTTTTTTTCAATACGTCATTTTAATTACTTGAATAATTCCCACATATGATTGTATATCAGATGGAAGGTGTATTCCTCTCACGATTACACCCCAAAGAAAAATAGCGCCAAAATAGTCATCACTTAAATATCCAATATACCATGGACCTTATCGAAAAAAATTATTATTTTTTATGAAAGCAAAAGAGACTACTTACCAATAAAATGGTACACTGCTAAACCAATCAATGAATAATAAAATAAATCAACAGAACATAAAAGTATCATTCGTAAACGAATTCTATTCCACAGAGTAGAACAAGCAATACAATACGCTGCAAAAAAAATTAATGTCAAAAGATATCAAGCACGCAATAATGTAAAGACAGTACTTCATTCATGCTATACTGCGATTGAAACTATGTTTCATCAAAAAGGAGAAAATGTTTCAAAAGATAGTAAATTTGCTTGTATTCAGACGTAGAACTATATGTGTGGACTGCAGTTATATGTTTCGAACATATTCTTAGATTACGGTGAGATTTTTAAATAAAATTGCCCAGTACTGATTTGACCGATAGGTTTTAGCTTTAAAAATACTTTTGACTGATTTTGTTCTTTAGCGTTCCATTAGCATAAGCTTTCCCATTGATACTATTTTCAAAAGTGGATTAAGAAACACAAAAAAAAACAATTATACAGTGTCACCTGACGACAATTTTTATGAACTATGTTCTTTACGATGGCAATCTTCCATAGTATTATGCTTTTACTGTATCAAGACATTTCCTAATAGAGTAAATATGATTCCTGCATGAGTAGGTATCTTTTCTTTTTATCAAAAAAAGATCGATCAATCATTTGTAAGTTTCATACAGTGTTACCTGAATTTCAATTCTCCATCGAATGATGTATTCACCATTGTAATATTCTGTTTGCTAGTCCATTTGAAAATATTGAAATCCAGTAGTTGCAGAATTAAGGGAAAGTTTAGGGAATTCACGTGAAATTCGTCATAAAAAAATCATGCCTGAGTATTTTTTATGTATTCTTCTAAAATGTATGATCTCCTTTTTTTTCATTATGCATTGATTAATGGAAACGATTCTAAAACTTTCATTAAATTATATAAACAATCCTGATGACGAGTCCGATGTTTTTCATTAGAACGATTTTTAATAAAGAAGTTAACAAAATCAATCTTTGATATGATGTATGTTCTACTAATGAAGGTACAATTTCCTGGTTCATTCTCTAATTCATTATTAATCAGGTATTACTTAACGAAGACAACTTATAAATAAACTAATCATATATATTAAATGTTAAGTTGAAATAAAAAAGAATAGATCAATTATTTCTACTTACGTATCATTCGCGTTGCATGGTATCGAAAAAACATCAATGTAATAATATAAATACATAAAACGCTAATTATAAAAGCCATACCCTTTTAAAAAAAAGTACTTTTTTCATTAAAGAAAATTCTTTTTCTAATAGGTTTTTACGAAAGATGGCCAACGTATAAACAATATAAAATTGGAACGTGTCCATGCTGCTTCTGTTATTGTCGTTGTAAGAGAAAAATCATGTTCAATTTTTTTGTATTTTCTTGATTATCTTTAATTCCAATAGTCAATTTATGAAGATGATTATCATTATAAACATTAGGATTCCATGGTAATACATATAAATTTTTATTATCGATTGATTGTACTGCATAACCAAAAAAGATTGAATCAATGAAAATACTTACATTAATAATTGGTCACTTAAAAAAATAAGAATCCTTTAATAATCGAAAAGATTTTTATAAATTCCGAAAAAAATGTATTTATTAATATTACCGAATATGTGTACTTTGACTTAGACGATAAAGTGGTTCTCTTGGTGTTTTAAATTTAGTTTCTTTTGGATTACAAATAACAGCATAAATAGATTGACCAAAACGAAAGTCTCCAAATGATAATATACCGGCGTCGATTGTGACAATACGAAATCTTAATATAAGAAAATAGAACGAATTAATAAGACGAATAATAAAATTTTGATTGTTTTAACACGCTCTTTTACTTTCGATTTACTTTCCAATCTTCTAATTCAAGTTCGAGTAATCCATCAGAATGTCGAGCATATAAATGTTTACGGAGAGAATGAAGATGACCATTTAAAAAGACAATACTACGATGCATTAATTCACTAAGCCCGTTTGAATTAGTAAATGATAGAGAATAATGACCGAAAAATATTATTATATTAGAATTTTGAGTTTCTTCAGTTAATTTTTTTATATTTCTCATTTCTCTCTAAGAAGAAAAAATTCAATAGAAATTCGGCTTTTTTATCAAATAAATACTTCAGAAACATAACCAAGCGTATTAAATGGACGACCAATACCTGGTCTTGGACCCATATAAATGCCAATTAATGAATAAGTATCGTTATCATTGGTGTGCCTGCCAGTCTCGACGTGGCAGTGGATGCG